TATATTTACTGAGAAAAATGGTGACATGTTCAATACTTATTTTACCCAATGTATAAGATACTGTATTTGTTGTTGTCTTAAAGCTATTTTGAAAGAAAAAATATTCAGAAAATATTATGTTCAAAAAGGTATAACAGGGATGCGAAGTAAAATAAATACACCAAGAACTTTATTTTTCCCCGTAGATTTTTGTACTTTAGCAAAGTATCACATAAATATCAGTTTGGTGACCTCACAGTATCATATTTTTTTAAATAAATCTGAGACTTGTAATCTCCACGAGTCATCATAATAAACTTAAACAGTAAGAATTTATTATGATGACTCGTGGAGATTACAAGTCTCAGATTTACTTAGAAATATGTGATACTAAATAAATCTGAGACTTGTAATCTCCACCAGTCATCATAATAAACTTAAACAGTGAGGTTTGTTCAGCATGACCAGGTGCCAGGAGTGAACAATAAAGAAATAAAGTCTTCCAGTGAGCTACTATAACCCTATCTGTCCCGTACAAAGTTAATAGTTAAAAGTTGTGTCTGAGGAGTGTTTTGATGTCTCAGCGAGGGTCAAACCTGACTGATGTAGTTTTTAATCTGTTTGTGCGTTTCGCCCCACCTGTGTGTGAGGCAGCGTTGTGTAACGAGCGGGGGTGTCGATACGTGATGTTTATCAGGATGACAATCAGGTCTGTCAGACTCACAGGATCTGAAACACAAACATGAGGGATGAGTCAGTTTTAATGGGTCTAGACACGGATACTAAAAACTCAAGAAAGTTATTCTGGTAACAGCTGTGAATTTACACATATTCATTCAATTTATTTCATTCATAAAGCAAAATAATCTACATACAGTGCAATAAAATGAGATTTTTTTCTTTTTTTTTCTGTTTATGTTGGCGCCACAGCAGGCAGCCTGTTACTGCAGCTCCCCGTCTTGTGTTGATGTAACGTGCAAATTTCCCCATTGTGGGATCGATAAAGTTCTACGGAAGAGGATTAGGGCCATTGGGGGGAAAAAGGAATTCTGACTTTTTTCTCAGAATTCTGAGAAAAAGTCAGAATTCTGAGATTAAAGTCAGAATTCTGACTTTAATCTCAGAATTCTGA